AGAACCCAGAACTCATCTACCAAAGGAACTCTGCAATAACATGAAATATTGCAAGTGTTGAAAAGTCGAAGGTTGAGCTAAAAAAAAAAAAGTAAAGACAGAGGTAAAAAACTTAAATATCACAATCAAAGTTGAGTTTTAAAAAAGAAAGTAAATAGAGAGGGAAATAACAGAGAAATAAATGAAAATCAACAGTTGAATGAATGATAATAATCATGTACCCATCATTTAGCAAAGCAGTGAGAGCATTTGCAATGGCGAAAGGCAGGTAAAACAATGACTGCACGAAATAAAAAACATTAAGTGAACGTCACAACCAATTAGGTGTATTTAACTTGCATGAATACTGCAAAAATTTCGAAAATTCTAGAGCAAAGAACCATTTTTTTTTTCTTTTTTCTTTTCTTTTCTTTTTTTTTTTTTTGGGAAGTTCAAAGCATAATCCAGAATCTTCATATTCTCAGCTACATAATTTGTTTCAATGGCGCTCTTACCATACACATGTTTGTTTTCAAGCCTTTAGGTTCATCACACAGATGCGCAAGTATCATCCTTCCCTACAAAATATTTTTTTACCGTAAAACATAAGCACATGCCATTAAATGTTCATAATAAAGAGCGTATTATTTTCCACAAGGAAGATGACTTAAAGGATCATCAAAAATGTAATTTTCTTCAAAACGATTTATATTTCTATTAAAGACATAATAAATCAAGTTGGTGAAAATTATACAAATAAATGAAAGCGGAGTTATGTCGTACCACTTGAAACCCGAATGCGAGCCCACTACCCAATACGACCAGATGGGGATAGTTACCAATTACATCACTGGGAGATATGTAATCCCTGTCGTGATATGCTAAATATTAGACATTAACACTAACATAAAAACAAAATACATGTGATCATGGTAGATCAAGACCTACCACACAAGAACTCCACCTAATAGCACAACAAAAGGATAAAGCTGCAAAAAAACGAGAAGATGTTATTTTTCAGAAAGTGGAATTCGATATATTTGTATAAAAGGTCTCATTCATGCACTAAGTAGATTTACCATAGCCAGCGCTAGCAGCATATTTCCTTTTCTTGCTTTAACAATCTGATGAACATTGTTTACACTGCACAAAAGCACATTTTTAGTTGTCAATCCCATGAAAAGTACGAATACCAAGTAAAAAAACAGGGTCGGATTCAAAATTTTCATACTCTTCATGAGAATTCGAAAGCATACACGGATATTAAATGAATTTTAAAGCATCTTAAAGCCAAATTGACAGTTGCACAAGTTAATAGAGAACTTAAAGTTAATAACTGGTAATTTCTTCAAAAGTAGAAAGGGAAAAAAGAACCTTCAGAGCATATACTTACTTGCATGCAACTGTTGGTATGACGCCAAAAGTTATCATAAGAAATAAAACAGCTTTGTACATAGTGACCTCTGCACAAAAAAAAAAGGAAAGAATAGATGAGAACTGATTAAAAAATGTATATGTACTTATGTACAAACATGTAGTGAAAAAACAAAAGATTTGTTGATACACCGTCTAAGAAAGGCTACAACCAAATAAATAAGAAGGGTTGAATTTAATGTAGAAACTAACAGCATTAAAATAACAAGCGTAGCACCTGCCAGTTACGAACATGAAATTTATCTTAATTTAGTATTACTAACTGTAACAAGACTTACCACTTATAAATGGCAACCAACTCAGGAATGGAATGGATTTTCCAAAAGATTGTGCCCACCACTCAGCACCTGAAAATAAAACCATTCACTCTACCCTGTTGTCCATTAATTAATTGAAAAACCTCCGGGTGGATATGGAAAAAGGTGAGAATAATACCAACAAAAGCTGTAAAGAAATGATTCATATATATCAACGCAAGGCCCTCTGTAGGTCCATTTATAACAGGAAGGATGAGCGTGTTGGTAAAATAGCTGTACAAAAAACACAAAAGCATAAAAATTAGGAATGTGGACCAAATATGTCAAGTAAACCGTGATTTTGAAGAACAAAAAATGAACACTTGTAGACTACAAAACCGTGATGACAGAGCGCAGCAAAAACAGCACATAAAATATCGATCAGAATGTCATTAGCTGCAATGGTAAACCAAAGAAACATCTAATGCATATCCTGATTAATAAATCATTCAATTGCATTATAATAAGCAAAAACAAACAAATAGATCTTCGCTTTTTTGTTTCAAAAATAAAACAGAGTATATCATACCTGGATGAAAAAAAACAAAAAAAAAAAGAATGTTACCAAGAGCAATTTTCTCAGAAAGAGTCACGTACATAATACCAGTAATGATGACATTATGCTCATGAAGACACGAGATTGAAGGAGCAGAAAATCAACTTACTGTTCCCATGTAGCACAGTAGAAAGTAACAGCAGATATAACCCAAAACCAGAAGGTATAGCGTCCACACATAGCAGTGCTTCCAAAGGCCAACGCCTCAAGCTAGAAAAGTTTCAGGCAACACAATTACAATATTTGAGAATTTTAATAAGATATGAAAAAAAAAAAAAATCCAAAACATACTGCGCATGCAAGAGCGTCGCAACCTGCAAATTTAACAGGACAGAAGGTCGTGAGATCATTGTCGGGATTAAATAAATGGACAAAAATAATTGAAACCAACACGAACAAGATAATTATTACTAATAACTCAGAGAGGAAATAATCACCATGATCAAAAAGTTCTCCCAATGGACTAGAGGAACTTGTTCTTCTAGCTTGTTTTCCGTCAACTGCGTCAAAAGTCTAGAGAAAATTTCCAAAAAACAAAGTGGTAATTGTAACGATAGGTTGTGTGCTCACAATAATATACTTACTGAAAGAAAACTCCAAAATCAGTTATAAAAGAGTTCCAGAACAGATCTCAACTAAAAAATGTTTAAAAGAAAATAATAAATTCAGTCACACTTTTTTATAAAATTAATTGTCTAATCATAAAACATTTCAGCACATATATGCCAAAATACAGAAGAAAATAAGCTTGAGCATACTTGATACAAGAAGAGCAACAATCCATGAGCAAAATGAACCCATCTTGGCGGAGGTGAGTCCAAATGAGGTGAATAAATCTGTATGCATTAAGACATAAAGATATAGGTTTGAAATAGATCCCGAAAAGGCAGATGACTATCAAGAGAGGATTTTTATGTCAGTAAGATCAAGAAAGCTACTCCAAACTTCCAAATGTCTATTAAATATATTGAAGATTAAAAGATTAGTATATAGCAAAAATAGTTCAATGCATTAAGCTCAAAAGAGTGTCTAAGTCTAATGAATGAAATAACAGTGGACAGGATTATAGTCCAAATTGTGATCAATAAAATCATGAAATGATACTCCTTTCTCATGTAAGGGGGAGACAGATATGTATTGAGAGAGAAGGTTCACTCACATAGCCAAGTAATGCAGATATAGCCAAGAAAATGAATCCCGTAAGTGTAATCTGGCAACAAAACATGCAATATTAGCTATGAGCAAAGACTGGGGTAGATAATACCTAATAAAAAAGATCTACAAGAAGAATACTTACCATGTTGGGCCTGTCTCCAGTACATGCACAAAGAGGGAAAAAAAAGGGATAATTAATGACAATTTGTATAATATATCACAAAAAATAAAAGGTTTGGGAGAATGATATGAAACCCGTAGGTCGATACTTAAAGCCTTTCTTCAACTAGCAATGTCAAACATCCATTAATATTTAATTGCATGAAGGGTAGAGCTTGTTCATCAGCAGCAAATGAATTGTGAAAGGTAGACCGACCAAATTAAATTGGTCTTCTCATTTTGGAGCAAGGACTGTCCTCTTACGATTAAGGTTGGGAAAGAAGTAAGACTAAGAAGATTGACAATGGGGAAATAAAAGAAAACTTCCATCGATTAAATGTTTTCGCTATGTTATGTTTTTGCAGGCACCTAACTCTAGACCTGGTTAACAAGTTCAGGAAAGTAAAGGCTGATCAGAATCTGGCACACAACATAGTTGTTTCGCTGTCTGAAACTCCTTACTCTGACAGTAAAACATATCTTTTTCAGCTAGCAAATTCTGGATAACATTTAACTGTTCAACCCCTAAATTTGCAACCGCACTGTAGACAGTATCGAACTATTTAACCACCATAAGCACTTACACAATCCCTTATTATTCAGACTCCAAAAAAACCCAAACTGAGTGTTGTAATCAGCAAAAGTTTACACCTTTGCTAACTAAAATGGCTTTATTCTTCACCTTATAAAAAACCCAGTACAGTATAGTCAATAACTATTACGTTTTATCGGTTTTCAAGTATTCGGAACATCAATGTGTATGCGTAAATCACAATCACACAAAATTGCACGACCATCACCAAGAACAGACAGCAAAAGTACCAATCCCATAAACAGGAAGCATAGAAGAGCAACGAAAAATCTGAACTTACGGCATCCAAAGAGGGAAGAAATTAACACAGCGACTCCAAAAGGGCTGCAGCACATATTTGGCCAAATAAGAGTGATCCACCCCACTGTACTTGTACCTATGCAGAGCCGCAACCCCATGGGAACCTATATACCCCATTTTCTCCCCTTTTTTTTCTCCTATCAATTACCACTAAATTACAATCACACCTGAGATCAGAAAACCGTACAATCAGTAAAGCCTACGCCATGGAAACAAGATCTTTTCACGCAAAAAATGAAGCAAAATGGTTAAGCGATTCGAATCGAACAGCGCATATCGAACAAAGGCATAAACTCAACATGAAGATGTAAATCTGTGTACTAACTTATGCATACATCACGAAAAACAAAACGGAAAAGTACAGAAAAAAATTGAATTAACCTGCGGCAAATTACAGGGATTGATCCGTTGATAGAGAAGGATGAAAAACGCAGAGAGCAACTGGGTTTAAGGGCTCCCTCTTGATTTAAAGCTTCGAAAAAAGAGGTGAAGGATGAACTGGAAACGGTGCTTTTGTAGTGGCACTGCACAAATTTGTATGATTTATTATTGTTAGAAGATTTAATTTAAACTGAAAAATAATACAAAAAAAAAAAAACATTGTGAAATGTAATTAAAGGCTAAAAATATAATAAAAAAATGGTCAAAAAAATAATATAATAATTTGTAATTAATTAAACACTGGATCGAATCTTGGTACAGATCAAATAAATTACTAATATTATTAAATAAATTATATATGCCTGACTGTGCTTAATGTCTAAGCAAACATAACGATTTGTAACTTTGTTATTTAACCGTGTAAATAAAATATGCAGTTTTCTATGGAATTATCGGATGACTCGGTTTATGGAGTCATTTACAGTTATTCACAAATAGTATATTGATTGATACGTGTTCTACAATAATGCACTTTGGACACGTGTCAATACATTAACTGATCGATGGCTTCATAAAAAAATCATATGATGGCTCTATAGAATTTTTGATAAAAAAAATGTGTCATTCTTTATTTTATATGTAAGTAGTTTTGTATTTTTACTCAAAAATGAAGCCCGTGAGGAGGGACAAGAAGAGAGAGTGTACTTCTCAATATTTTTTGTTGAGGAATGGAATCAAATCAACAAATGATGGTAATAAAATATGAGACGTAATTAAGATGAACAATACACGAATGTGATAAATAAAATGATTGCTTTATTAAATTCACACGTTTTTATTGTATTTTTCGTGTATATCTTTTTTTTTTCCTCGTGTATTTTTCTAATGTATGTTTTGATCTCATAAATTTATGACATTATAATTTGCGCTAGGTAAAAAATGAAAATGTCATGATTTCTTGATGAGTTACTGAACACGTTACATGCTTCTAAGAAGTCAGCTGCAAGCGAAGTTCTTAGTGGCAGCGTGTTAAGCTCGAGTAGATTTGTATTTCTTTTTAATTAATTGTAAGCTTTTTCTGTAATTTTCATAAGAGAGACAGAAAGTGAGGGAGAAGGATAGAGAGTAGAGAGAGAATAAGGAGAGAGAAATTCTGTTAAGCCAAATCTGATTTTCTCTGACAATCCACCCACATTTTACCCTGCAATGCGGTCCCACAAGCTAAATCATATCCTGGGCCTAGAACAGGCTCTGGCCCAGTAAAACATAACTAAAATAAATAAAGCCATATCGGCCCAAATGAAGTAGTACTAAAAATGACCCAAATGAATTACAATTCATCACGGCCCATCGCTGTCCGACATTTGATCTTCTTCCTCAGCTTTCACCTCAAACCCTAATTCTATTTTTCCCGACTCAATTTCTCCTTCTTTTTTCCAGTTTTCTTCAATTCTCGATTCTTTTTCGGTTAAAGGTGCGATCTTTAGGTCGTACGCCTCTCGGTACATGACATTACCCCCGGCATTTTGAGATCCTTGACCGCAAGGATCTAGATTTGGAAAATGGCGTCGGAGAAAGCTCACATCTTCCCAAGTACTAAGTACCGGCGGTGTGTCATACCAGATGACCAATGCTTGAGGTATTTCTCTTCCATTTCTGAGAGTCATCCGTTTGTTTGCAATGGCTGTTGGTTCTGTTCTAAGGGCTCCGTCCTCATCTGTGTTAGGTAGCTGCTGTAAAGGCCTGATGTTAGGATGAAGCCGACGTTTGAGAAGAGAGCAGTGGAAAACTGGGTGAATCTTAGAGTCGGCGGGCAAAGCTAACCGGTAAGACACAGCACCAATTTTCTCTAAGATAGTGTAAGGGCCATAGAATTTGGCCGATAATTTGATGTTCTTTCGTAGGGAAACCGAGTGTTGTTTATAGGGTTGCAGTTTAAGAAACACCTGTTCCCCTACCTCAAACTGTGTATCTTCCCTTTTCTTATCTGCATAAAATTTCATTCTTGCTTGTGCCTGGGCTAGATTGCTTTTGAGTTGCTGAGCTTGCATTTGTCTTTGTTGCATG